TTTGACTTTGGCTCCACTGGTGTGCTTTTATTGCCTTCCATTTCCTAACAATTACTATCATGTTACTTGTTGTTCTCTGTGTGCTTCCTGCAAATACTGATCTGATCACATCTGATGGCACATGATGCTGGTGTTGTCCACAATCGTTGATTTGGGAGGGGTGAATTCAGCCCAGGGTGCACTTGTGTAGAGGGAGTCGTAGGGTGTGGGTGTATCTGCTGGTCCTGGCTGTGGGCTGTTGGCGTAGACAGTTGTGCTCGGGCCCGAAGTGTTGAGCTTTCCAACTAGTTCCAGGAGAATAATGGTGCTGAAATCTACATGGTTTGGTTATGTTATAGGAGTTTGGGGGCAGAGTGGATCAGTTGGCAGGGAGTGCAGACTGGTCGGGGTCCAGACTGACTGGGAGATGGTCTTTGATGTTCAGGAGAACCACTTTCTCAAAGGGCAGATGTGCTAGTGAGAGTGTGCACCCAGGAAGAGCTGCATGTTTAAACACTGCTGCAGGGCAGACTTTTAATCTCATCAGAGTCAGACATACATACACTCACACAAGATAAAACGTGTAAATAAATCATAGCATTCTGCTGTGCTGCACAGCCTGCAGCGCAGGGGTCTGGACTTCACTGTGGCTAAAACTCCGAAACTCCAGATATCCTAAAAGCAGCAACTTCTGATTGGTGCTGCAATATTTGTTGTATGCTCATTGTAGGCTTCATTGCTGTAAATGAATGTGGTGGTCTTTTGCAGTACATTATATTGTCATTTTCAGCAGCATCAGTTCATGCTTCGGTATTTGTCCTTGTTGAACTAAAGTAACTGAGATACATTTCTATAATATCAAACCCAATTCTGACACTATAGCTTCTATAAGTGTATTTACGCTCGGTTACCTCTCTGCAGTCCCCTCCAGCGCTATTGGTTTCCTCTTCAGCAGGTGAAATGCACATGCACTTGGATTCAGGTCTGGTGATTGACTTGGCCAGTGTGAAACCTTCCACTGTTTCCGTCTGATGCAGTCCTTTGTCGAACTGACTGTGTTTTGGATGAAGCTCCTCCCACTCAGTTTTGCTTTTTGATGCTGCTGCCATCAGGACTCAGCAAACACAAATGAACTGGCCTCATCATGCCACTACTTTTGATGATGAGGGGACTGTATATACAAGTTTGTCAGTGGCCACTGTTCTCATGCTCTTTTCAAACGGCATATACACGACACAGCACATTCACACAATAGGGTGAGCATGCACGTGCAGTATGGCAAGCAGTCGCATAATCTAGAAGAAGAGAAAAGTCAACAGATGGTGTTTTGAAGAGAAACATTTGTGTTGATACAAGTGATGATGAATTTTCATAGTGCCTGCGCAACATGAGAAATGCATGTTTGTACATTTCTGTCATTTTTTTTAAAGCATGTGATTGATAACAAAACTTCAAATTGAACTCTGGAACTTTATTAATATCAGGACCATCCTTAGGAGCCGGTATTACCACGTCAACCAGAACTAATCTCAAGGATTATATCTTTGTGAGCTAAAATAAGATAAGCTAAGATGAACCTTTATTACTACCACAGTGTGGACATTCACAAAGCTACAGAAACAAGGCACTCTCAGTGATAATAATAGAAACATAACAGACAAGGTGTTATCAATAGAAATAATATAAATATCATAAGGAAAACAATATTACACATTGGTATGCTGGAGTATTCACAGTTTTACAGTGTGTAGGTGTGTGAGGTCGGGGGGGTTGTACACCCTGACAGCAGCAGGAAGGATCTGTGATAACACAAGGCAGCCTCTCACTGACAGAGCCGCCCAGTGCTGTCACAGGCTCGTGCGTGGGGTGGGAGTCCTTCTTCAGTGGGGATGCAAGCTTGGCTAGCAACCTCCTGTCACCCACCACCTGCACTGGGTCGATGGGGCCTCCCAGGACAGCTGGCCATCTTGACCATTTTGTCTAGTCTTTTCCTGTCTGTGGTCAGGATGCTGCTGCCCCAGCAGACCACGCCATAGAGGATGGAAGGGTGGAAGAAGGCTCAAGTTGTCAGTCGAGTAAGACTTGGAGAGGAGAAAATAGTTGGCAGGGTTGTAGGGTGCATCCTCCAGCACAGAATAGGTCTACCTGAACACGTGGTCAGATATTGGCTGAAATATTATAGCTGAAGTATATGTACACTGGTGTTTCACCATAGTCCCATATCAGAGCCTTTATCATGACTTCAATTACGAGGACGTTAGGTAGTTTGCATCACTAAAAAAGAACGTACAGGACTCAGCAATTGCCATGGAGCAATACAACTACACCTGTGTTGAGTCTGGTTCTGAGCTGGACATCAGGCTTCGAAGAGGACGTTTATGACTTTTGCCCAGGTTGTCTGTCGGAAGTGCATCGCTCCGCTTACACGTTGACGAGATTGGAAACATTAATGTCTGGTCATGGCTTCAGCTTTGCCATTTGCCTGGGTTAGGAAGCGTCTCAGGCCTCACAGCAGCTACACACAGCCTGTTTAAGAATCTGTTACATAGAATAGAGTTGCACACACTGTGCAAGACATTTAGACAAACTGCACAAACACCTTCATGCATGGATCATCGTTCACCATGTTGTCTTTGTGTCTATTTTTTATTATATTTTTATGAAGTTTTTCCTTGTCAAAGTTGATGAAAAGACCAAACTATCCTTCTAAACTTTGACACACCTTATTCCTCTGTGCCAGACTGTGGCACAAAACCTGTTAAAAACAGAAGTCACTTTGTTGCACTGCTCTTTAATGACTGAGAACACAGGCACTGCAGTTCGTTTATGTGAACCCACTGTACCGGTGCAGTAAATACCTAGTAGTGCACAAGACATTTATTAATCCACTGCTGAAAATAGGTCTCAAAATGCACTATTTGCCAGTAGGGTAACAATTAATTGTTTTAACCCGGTTTATATTTCTTATATTATGCTTGGGCTGTTTGACCAAATGTTTGTTTTAGTCACTGGAGACTAACTATGTACCGTGTGCATTTATTATCTTGGTTAAACTAATACTTTAAGTGTTAGGAGCATCTCTAACATCAGGTTCTTCCTCTCTCACAGGTCAGTCAGGGCCCCACTGTGCCTAAAAGACCTGAGACTTGCTGAATCACTGCCATCTTTTAAATCACATATTTTTATTAAAAGCCTCTGCTTTGCCTTTGTCTCTGCTTTTTATTATAGGATAAGGATAATCACCTTTATTGGCCAAGTGTGTTACACACAAGAAATTTGTTTCCAGCACAGAACCGAGGCAGCCATCTGTGGCGCCAACTCACACTGATGGCTCTAACCATCAGGGGCAACGGGGGGGTGTTCAGTGTCTTGCCCAAGGACACTTTGACATGTGGACTGGAGGCACTGGGATTCAAACCTTCAGCCTTCCTGGTTGGGAGACGACTGCTCTGCCCACTGAACCACAATCTCCTCCCCCAATTATATAATGATTGTTGGGTTTTTATGGTTTCATTAGTTTTATTTATTTTACTGATTTTTTTTTAAAAATGTCTTCTGATTGTTTTCCTTTGTAAAGCACTTCGTCACTTTGTTTAGGAAAGTGCTTCATATGGTATATAAAACTATTATTATTAGAATTATACAGTGACCTTATAGCTGCACTATAGTGAGAATACATCATTTGTTAAATGTTTCTGTACTGTTTAGTATTTATTATAAACAGGGGCACTTATAGTAAAGTGCTACCAGGTTGTTGTTGTTGTTGTCGTTACTGCTAGTTGTCTCTTGAAGCCTTCAGGAGCCGAGTCTCTGAGTCACGTGCCTGGGCCCTGGGATCATATCCAAGCACAGGGGCCTGGATGACATCAGGGTTGATTCCCACAGGAGGAACAAAGTGAAACTGTGGCAGCCAGTAGGGATTCTGTGGAGGTGGTCATCACTGTGTTATTTAGTGTAGTACAAAGAGAGGAGGTAGGCAGAGAGGGGAGTAATTAGCTCATGACGTTCTTTCTTGTGACTGACTGCTGCTAGTGTGAGGAATACTACACACTAATGTGAGCAACACACACATCATCGTTAGGCTATAAAATATTTAATGCAGGGGTCTCGAGGGCCCTCAGAACTGATGGATCAATGAGAACGCCTCAGTATAAAGTACTAAATAATCCATTTTGCTGTGTTTGCCCATCTACATGCCCCAGGCCATTAACTGAATATGCACTGGCAAAATTTTCCACTTAGTATTAACATGTGCACGCGCACACACACAGACACAAACACACACACACACTGTATCTGTCTTCTGCAGATCATGGATCAACAGCCAGGAGCATGGCTGTGTTTGTAAAGCTGGTAAGCAGAGGCTCATGTAGCTGCCTGTACACCAGACTGTTACCATTCACTTAATGAAACCTCAGAAGGTTTTGTGATGACTTTTCACAATGTTTACTGCACCTGATCGACTCTGGTACTGATCTGCTGGCGTCCTCGCTCTGGAAACCAGCAGCCCATCTCCTCTCTGACAATGAGGCTCCTTTCATCATTTCCAGTATTTTGATAGAAATGCACTGAGTGAACTCGGCGAATGTAAAATGCCCACAAATACACTGAGTCATCCTTTGAGCGTTTAAAGATTGATAATGGATAATTTTGGACTCAGGTTGCAGATATATTGTGCAAATATTCCTCAGTCCTTTAAATCTGAAAATGCCTTTGAAGTGTTTGTTGTTATTCTCAGTGGTTTACTCTGTAATATTTAACCATTGAAAAAACCAGATCCTCATTTAAAATCCACGATGCTTTGACTAGAATAGAAATAACAGCAGTGTTTTAGATGAGAATCAGTTGCATAAGGTGGGTGTTTGTTTCAGGTCCGCTGTGTGAGTTTTAGTAAAAGACCATACAGGCCTAGTTCAAGTCACAAATCTGAATTCTTAAGTGCAATCAAGTGATCCTTTTTTCTGTTTTTCCTTCATAATCATATTGATGGCTGGCCTTCCTCTCCTCTCTCCTTGCTGCAGACAGCAACTTTGTTCTGGGGAATGCCCAGGTGCAGTCGCTCTACCCCATCGTCTACTGCTCTGACGGTTTCTGCGAGCTCACTGGTTATGCCCGCGCCGAGCTCATGCAGAAGAGCTGTGCGTGTCACTTCCTGTACGGCCCCGAAACAAGTGACAGGTTGACTGCTCAGATCCAAGGAGCCCTGGATGAGAGGAGGGAGTTCAAGACCGAGTTGATCTTTTACAAAAAGGAAGGTGGGAGTGCTGCATGAGACATCTGTGTGTGTGTGTGTTCAAATAATTATAAAGTGCTAAAGCCTTTACATTTATTTTTTAAATGTTTAAAGAGTTTTGTGAAAGAACATGAGCATTTCTTGGCAGTCATCTGATTGGATTTGATTTAGCTCAGTATAAAAAATGTCTTAAGACTTGGGTGTATTTTCAAAGTCGATTCTCATGTTGAGTAAATGTTGAGCAGTGTCACGAACACAAAGAATAAATCAAATCAAATCAAACTTTATTTGTATAG